GCTCCTCGGGGCCCAGCTGCCCGCTGCCGGCCGACACTCACCGGGCCCCGCTGGGTGCTGACAGTGGTCGCCATAGCGCCTCGCTCGGGCCAAAACCCTCCGCCTTCCGCCCGGCCAGGCCACCGCTACAGTTAACGGCCTCCGAACGCCGAGCTCCGGAGTCAGCTGACGCGCCCCGCCCCGTTATTCGCCGTTGCGCATGCGTGGTGCAACGGGCAGTCAGCTTGTCCGTTGGCTTCTCCTCCCGTCCCGTCTGACTCCCTCGCAGTGGCGGCGTGGCCTCCGCGCATGCGCTGGAGGGGATGAGCGGGGCGCCCGTGGTGAGAACATGGCGCATGCGCGCTACGACACTCGTGCTCTCTTACTGCCCCCCCCACACCTCTGAAGCTGTGGGTTAGTCTCGCTGATGGGAATTGGCGCCTGCGCAAGAGGCTGTTATGGGACAGCGCTCTCCTGAGAAATCGCTCTCAAGAAGCTGTGTTGCGCATGCGCGAAGAGGCAGCACGCATGTGCAATACTGGTACTGGAGACCTTTCTCACTCTGCCCTTGGTGTGGATGGATCACTACTAAAGGGTGTGGTTCAGGGTGCCTGGGAGTGCTGGAGTGCCTCACTTCTGCCCCACAACACAAGGCTTGCCCTCAAAACAGCTGTCCCCATGCCTGGGACTTTGACCCCTACACATATGGTAGCGCCTGCCACCAAAATGGCCCCTATACTAATACAGCCACTACCCACACACTCAGATGCCTCACACCGAGGCACGTTCCAGGCTGCAGCAACACGGCTATGGCTGCCTTCATGCAGGCTGCGCCATCCGTACCAAAATGGCCACTGGCCCCAGCCCTAGAGGCAACAGCTGAGGTGCCATCGCACAGAAACTACAGAGAAAGGCCTGCCATGTGACATGGTTGCCCTAGTATGTCCCAGGGTGAGCTGTCACTGTACCACACCAAAAGGACCATATCCAAGGTGCCCTGGCGCTGGTGGGAGACAATCCTACCCTGCACAAGAGATCACTGTAGGGTCTGAAGACACTCCCCATAACTAGATAGCCACCAAGATAATACTGTACACCGCTCTCTTGTGCTGTGAAGCCTCTGTCCCAAAATGACAGCTGATCTGGCTCACGCCAGAATAGTCACTGTGCCAAAAGAGGGATTTTCCTGCCAAATGACAAGACTCTAGTGCCCAGTCCTGATATGCTTCTGCACCCTAGTTAGTCAGACACCACTGTCCTATTCCAAAATGCCCGTTGAGGTACTTCCACCCTGCTCCAAAAAAGCCCTACACAGAAGACCCACATGGACGGACACCAGTAGACCACAATAAACCTGCTGCACTGAGTTGGACTGCCCATTACTGAGTTATCACTGTCCAGACCCAAGGCAGCATTAGAGCCAAACTGCTCCTGTGATACAGTAGTAAAGCAGGGTGCTGTAACCCACTAGGATGTGACATGGCAATATGGGGTAAAACATTACTGTTGTCACCTTGCACAGAAATATCACTGTGAGGAAGTGATGACATGACACCAAAACATCATCTCTATCATCTTGCTGTGCCCAAAACATAATAATTTGACAATGTAGGATCATCCTCATGTTTCATGAAAATGTCACTATGAAGTTAGTATGTCAGTGTGGCAGATACATTCCTTTGCCTTATACTAAAATGTAACTGTGCTGCAGTGGATCATTGTTTCCATGCACCAGCACCATGGTGTTGCACAGGAAAATTGTACGTGTGGGGCTGAAATATCATGCCAGTGGTGGAAGATACCTCACTATTACCACTTCCTCATGCCCAGAACTTACTGGCCGCGTCTACATGAGATGCTACTGCGCAGTCGTTACTGCACATTTATTTAGTACTTGTATAAATATAAACTCGTATAAACAAGTATTAAATAAATGCATAGTAACCTGAGTTACTACGCAGTAGCACCGGCAAATGCCTTTTTGGTGACACTATTGCACAGTAGCCTAATACTACTGCACAGTAGTGTCGCATCACATTTTTTGCCACGCAATGCTACTGCGCAGTAGTTATCAGGCTGAGGCTACTGCGCAGTCAGCATCTCACATAGATGCATCCACTGTGATGCAGTGTTACAAGATGGAAGTGGAACAAAGTAAATATTGCCATCAGAATACAGCATTATACAGTATGCTGAAGGAGATGGAAGGGGAACCACAATTGTTTAGTGAAATATCTGAGAAGTTGCACTGAAATGACATCATAAGGTGGCACAGTGATGGGATAATCATTCTTGCATTGTACTGAAATATCAGTATGCTGTGATTCCACAACAGCAGTGAAACAGCACCACACAGTTGCAGTGAAATGCCAATGTTATATAGCATGACAACATGAAGTTTAGCCATATCACTTTCATGTTGAACTTAAACCTTGCTTTGCTTGTTTTGCCCACACAAAATCATTATTGTTCCTGAGCAGACTTTCTTCCTAATGAAAATGAATCCTTCTAGGGGTGGAAGTAGGGTAGTAGCAAATGGTGCAGTCCGTGTCATCATGGCAGAAGAATAATGAAGAGAAGAAGATTGAGGCACCAGTCTGAGGCAGCAACCCTGGGTGGGTAGCACAAAAAGAGCAGCATCTGTGCTGTTGGCACTGCCACTGGCATGCTGTCAGCAGCACAACCACTGACACTGCCCCACGCACAGCTGCTGCCAAGAGCACTCAAGCACCCAGTTATATCTCTTCATCATAGCCTAATTGGATCTGTCCGGACAGAAGAATGAGTAAAAGCAACAGGAGACCAAGTGGAAGAATAAGACTGCTACACAGACTTCTACAGCAAGTCCCCTAAAATCCATTTAGATCTCAGAGGACCCACAGGTTCCAGCATTCAAATTTCCTGCCCATTCAGCAGATTCTCACCCATCCAATGACAGAAACATCAGTGGGGAAAAAAGGCACAGAGTTCCCCTTGCTTTGGTTTTCTAGATGACCCTAGAGGTCTCTTCCAGCTCCATGATTCTATGATTCTGCAGGCGTGTGTGATTTGGCCCTTGATGAGGAAACCACCTGTGTCCTCATGCCAGGAGTCATATCTCCTCCAGCTTGTTGTGCAATTCCAGTCTTTTCAGAAGAACAAAAGCAGCTCTAATATTCATCTGAGTGCTGTTCTGGGAGATAAAATCTGAGAATTTCAAAACCTATTTAAATGGCATAACTGTTTCCTGTTCGGATTTGCTGCATAAATTTAGTCATTAATTAAAATTCTAGTGCAGATTCCAACAGCTGGAAATAGAACAGTACAATTAAGAGCATTCCAAATATATAACAGATCTTTTTCATGCTACCATAAAATATGTATGGAGAAGGAAAAAGCATATTTTGCTTTTGTCTTGCTAGCTCTAAAAATGGACATTATTTGATATAATTGATAGGGAGGCCTTGATCAGATAATACAGTTGATACCAGATGCAAGCTGAACAGCTAGCTGAGGATAGAGGCTGTTATGTTCCCTGGTATATTTATAAATTGAACCTTAAAGCATTTATCATCAACAAACTGCACTAAACATTATCATGGAACAAAAGTAAAAGGCTTAGCTATCTGCTTGCCACTGGCAAAGAAAGCAAGCCAGAAAATACATCAATTAAATTTAACAAAAAAGACCAAATTCACCCCTGACACAATTCACTCAGCTTATATCAACGGTGCTCAATCTCTGGTCCGTGGGCCAGATCCACCTTGTGAGGCCATGTCATCTGGCCCACAAGTATCCCCCCCAAGTCCAGAAATTTGGGGCAGGGGGCGGGGGGGATTACAGCATTAATTATCCCTCCCATGCTGCCCAATTTCTGAACACATGGCAAGCCCCATGGGGCAGATGACATGGCCTTATCTACTAGATCATGCTGGCATGTGGCAGACCTGCTGGCATGGGGGTGTCACTCAGCAGCTGGATCCAGCTCATGATATTGGGCTGTGTTCAAGGTTGGGCCAGCTCACTGGATTGTACCCACAGACTGTGTTGACCCCACACTGGATATACCATAAACCAATCCCATGTGAGGGATCCAGCTTCACACCACTCATTTGGCCCACAGAGCTGGAAGGTTCAGCCCCACTGACTTACCTCAAAGGTGTATTTGGCCCAAGGATGCTGTCCAGTAAATGGACTGGTAGAACACCAGTGGGGTCTGTACCAAGAAGGTTTTGCAATCCCTTGTGATCTTGTGATCAATATACACTCAATCAGTACATTATGCCAGCTAGGCTGTATGTGGAGTTGGGGATCATCATAGTATTACTACATATAGGCAGCACCCCCTTTCCTCTGGCTACATGCCATGTATATAGGATTCTCTATAGAGCCCCACACATAAGTGATATCTTCTAGTAGTCATTTAAACAAGGCTTCTGACTGATTTGCACCGGCCGAACAACATTAAATAGTGCGGCTGACCCAGCACAGACTCCCTAGCAAGCTTCCTTGATCATTAATTTCTGGGAACAGCTCCCTCAAATTTAGTCTCTGAGACCCCTACTGACTGATGATTCTATGTAATTGTGGCCATTGAGTTTATGTTTGTCTCTGTGGCTGGTAGTTTCATTGTGGATTTCACGCAGAGAGAACCTGCTTCAGGTGATATCTACTTACTGATGCTTCCCTGGGTGACTGGCAAGACCACTGATCTCATTCCCAGGAAGCTAATTCCTGCATGTAGTTTTTATGTAGGAAGAGATGTGGGCCCACCACTGGGAAGGACTGTTTTCCATAATCATTAAGTTATTATTCCTTAGACACAGACTGCTGAGAAAAATGTATCAGTGTAGATAAGGAGTGACCTTGGTGGGAGAGTTTCCCATCGTCAGCAGATGAGGAAGTAATTTTGGGCTGGGTAAGAGTAAATCCCTATGTTTTTATTTTCAGTGTTATCTCTCTCAGTCTTTGTACAATGTGACAATGAGCAAACTCAGAGTTCAAGGGCTCAGATTTTGATTTCATGTATGCTACTGTAAATCAATCTAATCAATTATGTGACTTGCAAGTTAACTGAAATCACTGCCCCACTGGTGTGATATGTTTGCTGGAATTCAGAACACACATTCCTTTTCTCCTTTTTGGCCACTTCATGTGTGCACTTCACATGCTGTGAATAGCTTGAGAAATAACTAACAAAGTGTGCATTTGTGCACACTTGCATGTGAATTTACCATGCCTTTGAGAAAGCAAAATTAGTATGAAAAAGAAAACTTCATATATTACTTAAATAGGAGTTAATTTTTAAATGTATTTACTTTCTAGAGTTAATTCA